CCCCAAAACCCCAAAACCCCGTAAGCCATATTTATTAAGAAATTTATTAACTATCTGGCAATCAAAATTAATACAAATATCTAATCTACTTGATATTGATTATCATTTTACAAATTTAGTTTTAAATATATATTGGATAAATAAAAATGAGGAAAATAATGACTTAGTGCAAGTTCAAAAAGAGAGAGCTAACAGATCAACTCAAAATTGAAATTGACAGTCTTCATTTGGTAGCAAAGAATTACCCAGAATAATTAATTGGGAAGTTCATTTACGTTTATTGGGAAAACGATAATAAATGGTATGCGGGCCAAATTAGAAAGTTCTCTGAGTCAACCAGGAAATTTAGCATAGTCTATGATGATAACTAGCAAGAGAGACTTGATTTAACAAATTAGTACTTCTTCTTTGATGAAACTGCAAGGCCTACTGGCAAATATGGCAAGACTAAAATCGAGAAAACTTTGATGGGCACTTGAATCAAATAAGTAATTAGCAAAAAAGGAAAGAAAGGCGTTGGAATAAGAATGGATAAAAAAGGAAACAAAGTTTTGGGCAAAAAGACGTATCGTAAAAGATCTAACTCCCTCTAGGATGATATCAGGAGGATATAATAGTCTGCAATGTAGCAACTCAAAAACAGTTAAAATTAATAGCAGCTAAAGGACTTTGATAACGAAATGAAATAGTAGATGAAGCTGGCATTATCAAAGATGAATGAAAACAAAATCGATGGAATAAAGATATTCAGCATGGAGATACAAGATGATAGTTTCGATCAATTTACAAAATCGAGGAAATACTCAGAAGAGCAATAATATAACTCTATCAATAAATATATTAATAACACAGTTGACTGGCAAAATCTGGGTAAACCTAGTCTCCTAAGAAGAAAGATGATATCAAGCTAGAAATTAAACGGGAAAAGTCTTATATTAAATTCACATAAGCCTAACTAATTGATGGATAATAGAGAAACCTTAGAGTATGAGCCAGAATCAGAGAAAATGCAAATTATTGAGCTAAGTGGTTTTGTAGATTACTCTCAAACACCTTAACAATAGCTTTAAAACAGTTAGAATGATTGTATTTTGGATGGTATTGATATGTTTGTCTAAGTTTAAAACGATAAGCATTAAATGACTAAGATATAAGGAGGAATTTAGAACTATCTCTAAGAGGAGAATGAAAATGGGGAGAGTTTCTTTGATATTAATAGCTATGTTAAAGAGGTCATGATGAATTTTTATGACTCCTAGTTTGAAAGAGGCTATCATAATTGCTCTTGTAGATACTGTTGCATTCTAGAATATCCTATTTTGATTGAAAAAGGCAGGGAACCAAAAGAATTTGAAAAACTCCATTAGAAATATGCTGAATTTTTTATGAAAAATCCCGATTCTCAAACGATTTATGAAACCTAGTCACAATAAGATTCTAATGAAAATATACATTCGATTGAGAATATGTAAAACAAATAAAGCTTCATTAAATATAGTAATTTACAATTGATTTTGTTTTGATTAATTTTAATTCAATTAAAGATTTTAAAAACACTGATATCAACTTAAATTTGATACACGGGGTTTTGGGGTTTTGGGGTTTTGGGG